GCTAAACGTGTGAATCTAGACTTTTTTTAGTGTTGTTTTCTGTACATTAATTAGTGCCTGCAGAACTTTTTCATGTGTCAGTGCTTAGCTATGTGGCCTTGGTAAGATGGTCAGCTTTTAATCTTCCTTGCAATACTTGGCTTTTTCCCAGAATACACCTGCTGTCATAGCCTTTGACTGATAATTGATTTTCCAGTGGTGGAAGTCCTGTTTCCCAATTCAGCTCAAGAGGGTTGGGTTCGCTTTCTCTCTTGGACTCTCCCACGCTCTCTTCTTGATAAACAGGAACCTGAATTTCCAGAAAATAGAGAAGGTCTCTATCAGTCAGAAGGACTGAGCAATATCATACCTTGGAGGACAATTGCTAACACAATCCCCTTCTCTCAAATTCTGCCATCGTTTGTAGCTTGGTGGAAAAGTTTACCCTGGCTTCAGTTTTTGTTAAATCTTTGGCGATTCTGCCCTGGGAACCCTGGATTTTGTTATTCACTCGTGCGTTTGGACTGTTTAATCCTCCCACTTCAGACGGAAGGGTTCACATTACCTCTCCAGATCGATAAAAACTTCCAGTGTAGAAAGCACAGCAAGGAAAAACAAAGCAAGACCACTCAGGTTCTGATTTCCAACATTGCAATGATTTTAGTCTCTCCAGCCACAGATCGGTAGAAAGACTGTCAGACAACAAAGTCTGTGCTATTTGGATGGGGGTTTGGGGGCTGAGCCTGCTTTTTCAGCTGTTGGGAGAATGCAACTGGAAGTAGTAGTAACGCTCCTTCCACTCCCAGATGGATTTGCGGATATGTAAATGTAAAGAATGGGCCATCAGTTTTCTCATTACTTATTTGTCACCCAACTGATGTTCTTGGTTTGTCTACCAGAACGTTCTTGGCCAGAAAACATTTGCACAAACATTCGTATGTCATTTTGTCTGTGGGTCTTCTGTTTTACATATGTTTGGCAGAGAACATGTTTTGGTGAGCCATGCCTGGCACAGTGCATTGTTGCACATTGCGTGTTAACACATGTGCAACATGTTAACACATGTTAAGATGGTGTGTGTTAATGTCTGAACTGCTTCTCCTATGTATTGGTAAATCCGAAATTGGCACATCGGTAAGTATACAACGTATTGATATATCCTGGCAGCCTGAGGTCCGCATCCTTCTATTACAGATGTAGAATCCAGGGCAAACTTTTTATCATTTCAAAGAAGGAAAAGTGGTCACCTGAAAGAGACTGGAGATTTTGAAGATAAATGGATGTTTTGTGAATTTGAAAGCAGTCCTGTTGTGGTAGTTAGCTAATGATGCACTTCTTTTTGCTGAAAAAAAATCTGAGGAAAGGGGCTCATGCATCACAAGCTGATCAATCCAGCAACGATCAGTTCGCTAAGAACATAATACAAATTTAGAAAGATTTTTTAAAATCAGTTAAGTCCAAACTTTGCATTAAGACACAATTTGGCTTCACCTATTAAATGCAACATGGTTTGTTTTAACAAGAGTTTACCAAAAAAGTCAAAGTAGCATCACACACACAGTGTAGAAAGCCATCGTGTAGAAAGCCATCATTTAAGACTTAGTACACACATATGCTAAGCCAGAATTAAATGGCTTAAGAGCTGAATCCCAGGTAAAAGGATCTTAGGATCTAGGATTCCAGTAGTTCTGTTCTGTTAAGAAAAAGTGTGCAGTCTATTTGGTCTTCTGCAAACTAATACTGCATTTTCTAGAATTAGTGTTCAGAAATGCAATTACTGTTTTAAATGGCTGAAAAGGCATCCACATTAACAAGGGATGAGGACAGTTTCCTTTGGTTTCCTAATCTGTGATTAATTTTTTGGTGTCTCCATAACTGTGCTATGCTTTGCAGATCTCAAATTTAGCTCCTGCCATCTTTAGTTAAAAGAAACGGAATAAAGGTTGAGAAAGAATTTTTGCTGCCCTTGAACCTGGGCAGTGGTGCCAGGCAGTGTATGACAGGAGTGGCCAACATTTAAAAGGAGGACATCTTGCAAGATCTTAGCGATCTCACTGCTGAAACCTCTCTGGCTCTCACATACAAAAATAGTAATTTCATGTAACTTCATTCTTAAAAGGAATGCCCAAGTCTCACACAATCACATGAAAGAACACTAAATTTGTGTGATTTGGCATGGATGGGTGGGTGGATGTTTGTCCTTGGGACCTCATCTAGGGATTTCATAGCATTTTGTTATCTTGGACGTTCTCCTGCTGGTCCTATTTATAATCATAGCTCTGGCTTATGATTTTGAGTTTTGAAGAGTTTCCTGTACACTTGACTTGGCATGGTTTGACTAAGCCCTATGCTTGTAACACTTGACTGCTCTCCAAAACAAAACACATCCAGCATGGCTGGATAAGAATCTTTATTGCATACTAGAAAGAAGCTACTAAAATAATTGTTTGCCCTCTGTCAACATGAAGGTGCATTTCCCTCTTTATATCCACAGTTACTCCAGCACTTTTTTCTCCCATCTTTCCCTTGGTTTAATGGACTTTAGGCCCTCCACTTCTTGGCCTTGAAGCTGAGTGAAAGGTGGTTGTTGACATAACTGACATCTCTTCCCTAGATAATCTGACTCTCCAGTCTCATAAACATGATGGAAAACCAAGGTAGCCTAGTTTGCATTCAACATCCTATTTTAATTGGAGTCTGTCCATTTTTATTTATTTATAATGGTTCCATCCTTTAGGACAGTGTTTCTCAACCTTAGCAACTTTAAATTGTGTGGACTTCAGCTCCTAGAATTCCCCAGCCAGCATGCTGGCTGGGGAATTCTGGGAGTTGAAGTCCACACAGCTTAAAGTTGCCAAGTTTGAGAAACACTGCTCTAGGATAAACAGTATCTGAATATTTAGTGCATTTTGGAAGGATTCAAAATAAAGACCAAGGAAGAAGAGGAGTCCTAAGCAACTTTTACTCTTAGAAATCCCATTTCAGTGAAGCATCTGATTGTACATTCCATCTCATGAGGCTTTCAGCCTCACCCTCCTCCAGCTGAGGACATTAACAAGGTTTTTGCTTCAAAGTCATGTAGCTCAGCTGAACAGCCTGGTTGGGAAAGAGAACTTCTCTGTCAGGAAGGAGCAAAATGGCATGGAGACAGAGACAAATTGAGGCAGTGATTCTTAAAACATCTGTCACTTGGTTAGAAGGAGAAGGGGGAAGTTGCATTGTTCCAGTCTTGCCATAAATCAGGATTCATTGACCGGACAAGATAAATTGGCACACGTTCATGGAGAAATAGCCATGTGGAAATGGTTGCGTCTCCATGGACCCAGCTTTGATTTTCACCACAAGAGGGCAGAATGCACTGAGTCTGGGGAGAGATTTACTTTGTTCGTTGTGAACACTTCTTTCCTCCTTGAGGGGGGAGCAGAAAAGCAATTTGACTTCAGATGTTCTCCTTTGCGAATGCTGGTGTCATCCGTGATGAATACTGAACAAGCAGAGGAAGGCTGCAAGAAGAAGTAATAGCATGGAGTAATTCTGGCCAGTGTCCAAGTCAGGCAACTTTGCCCTCTTCCAGGATATTCCATTCCAGGTTGCTTAATTGCACATATTCTAGGACTGGTTGTTTTAATGTGCTAATTTTTACATTTCTGTTAAACAATAAATCACAGTGTATCGTTTTTACCCGATTCAACCAACCACATCTCTGTTTCAAAATCAACTTTCTCCCATTGTCTGAGATCTTTTTTGGGGCAGACAACAGGAGTTAGAGTTTGGGTTCTGTTACCAAGCTGTGACAGCTTCTCTTTCAACTTTTTGGTTTAGGAAATGAAAGGTTTGGTTTTGTAGAAAAACGCATAGAACTTAATCCAGTGATTTGGCTGTTAACCATAACAGCCCCTTGGAAATTCATAAAGCTCAAAGGTTGACTATATTAATATATTGATCATTTAGGGCAAATAAACAACAGGGGAGGACTGTTGCATTTGTTACTAATTTGATTTCATCTCCTTAATCAGAACAGGCGTCTTTAGTAAAAATGACTCCCTGATTAGCTTATAGTGCCATAAACACAAGGTAGTCCCTGTGTTTAGGCTTACTACATACATATATAATAAAATGGCAAAAGAAAAGGGATGAGCTGAGACTGTGCCCTGTGAACAAGGAGCTGTTGAAACTACAGCTCACGTCCTGATGCACTGAACCCTCTGTAAAGACTCGAGGACCCACCTTCTTGTCTGATAAAACACCAGGGAAATTCTGTTCTTTTTAATGCTCATTTGTTGTGATCAGATCAGTATGATTCCGTCTCCTTGAACGTAGCTAAATTTTGTTACGCTGCCTGTAAAATTAGGCAGACTTTGAGGATCCATTGGCCAACCCACCACCCATTGTAATATTTTCTCTTGCTTCGCTTTCACTTTATTTTTAATTTTAATGTGTTTTTGTTTGCAATTCGGGGCAGTGATCATCATGAAAATATTTTTAAAAAATCATTAAAAGGGATGAGGAGGGTGAAGGAAAACAGGAACCTTGATAAGAATTGGACACCAGTTTTTCAATGTTATACAGTCTCTATGTGATCTAGCTATGAGGGAAACCGGATTTTTCAGCAGATCTCCAAAAATTATCCTGGTGATCCCCTGATCCTTACCCTAAGCCTGTAAGATAGCCAGAAGGTTCAGAGCATGGGATCTCAGCCTCTTGGGCCTGGCTGGAAGGTGCTGATTTCTGGCCACCTCAAGTAAGACTTGCCAAAGGAGCAGTTAAATGCCTATTATGGAACATAGTCGTCAGTCTGGTCTTTGCCGTCTTCTTTCTCTCGCAGGATAATTAGAAGCACCCAGCAGCTTGTCATGACCAGAAATTGATTGCCAGGCTGGGAGCATCCTTGGACTGCCTAACGGGACTGTTTTACTTTTTCTAGGTTCTTACTTGCCCGTTTATGCTAAACCTAGAAAGCTGTGCATCATCTTCCATGTTTGTCCTTTCTCATGGCCCATTTCCTTTTCCTTTCCCCCCAGAGCAAAGAAGAAGGATAAGCCCGTGAGCCTCAAGATTCACAACAGCGTGGGGAGCTGTGAGAACATCCCTGCCCAGCGCTCTCCTCTCCTGTCTGAACGATCCTTGCGGTCCTTTTTCGTTGGGCACCCACCCTTCCTTCCTTCCACTCCTCCTGTCCATGCAGATGGCATGTTCTCCACAAGTAAGTCAGACCTAGCAGGCAGCTCTGGAGGAAGGAGAAGAGGTGAGGCACATGCACACGCACACATGCACGCACACTGAAGTTGAATATTGGGGGCTTCCAATCCAGCCTTGACTGCAGGACTTTTTAAAAATTATATTTGCTCTACAAGGGCCAATGAAAGCAAAGCTTCTAGATTTCAAAAACCCAGCATTTGCAATAAGCATTGGGTGTATAGGATGTCCTCAAGGCTACTTATTTATATAAAAGATTTATAGGGTAAGTCTCCAAAGAGATCTGTGATCACTACTAAACTGTGTACCCTGCTCTTTCACATTTTATTATTCATTCTTTAGGTCTGGAAAGTTAGTTTTTATGCAAGGCACTGTGAGTTGACTGTCTTTACTGATGCTGCTGAAATTCAAAATACAAACACTGAATCTATCAAATCAACTCTTTATTACTACCATAAGGCCAGCCATCAGACGCAGAATATAACAACTAAACATGAACATAGGTATAGGCATATACACCTGAAGCTAAAGAAATTAATGCAATTGTACAGTCACAAGGAGGCAGGAGGTATATATTGAGGCAACCTAGGAGGAACTATCTGAACAGTGATTGGACAGGAGAAAGAACAAGGAATTTCTTCAGGCTAGATCTCCCTGTAGAGAGAGTGATAAAGAAGCGTATGGCTGTAGCACTCTGCTGGCCGCAAGAGCATATATATTGGTGTAGGGGAGTATTTTTGTATCTGTAGAGTTCGGCCCTTTCAGGGCACTATAAGCCATCATTCCAACAAACTTTATTACAGCTTGAGTAAAGGGTATACATCGTTATCAAAACCCAAGAACTGTAGAAAGACCAGCTTGGCCTGGAAGAGTGGCAGTAACATGCTGGCTGCCAGGATCAGCACTAGGTTTCAGGATGCTCATGGTAAAATAGCTCCCCCCTCCCCAACCTCTCCCTAAGCTTTGGACTTACCCAATAATAGTCCTGAGCTGCCATTTAAAATTCCCGTCATGCTCCACGGAGCTTGACATTGCATTATTAGGGGTCATTGTGGGAAATGACAGCCAGGTCATGTCACGTTGGGTATTTGGAAGAGCTGCCTACCAGCAAGGTACCACTCAAACTATGAGTGGTAGCTTGCAGGAGGTCTAAATCAGAAGCTGTTGCCTGCTGGACCTGCAGGATTTACCCTGACGATACTAAGCCCTGACCCTGCCGGCCAAACTTGAGAAAAGAAAATATGAATTACAGACTCCTACTCCAGCCCTCCACAGGACCGGATCAGAGAGTAGCCTTAAGCCTTGCCAATGCCTACAGAACCAACGGCAGCGCTAGTTGTCCTGGGTTAATTAACATGACAGACAAGGAGATGCTCTGGAGCAGGCTTTGACAGCGTTGTCTTGCTTTTGCAATCAGTGTGTGTCAGCCCCATGCTTTTCCTTGACAATCTGGCAGAGAGAAAAACAACAGCGCAGCAGAGGCTGCCTAACAGGAGAGGACATCCAGATGGAAGGGGTCAAGACATCATTGCTGCTGTCTGCCACCGGGGCCCCAGGTTTCCCTTCTGGTGGTCCTGCTGACATCGGCTATGATACAGCATGGTCTGGATTGCCAAGCCAAGTTTCACTTTGGGGCCTGAGGTTCTGGCATTAATCTTGAGTTGAATGGCAGCTGCAGAGAAGTATCTCCTGGGGTCCTTTGGGCAACTCTGGCATCTGTTACCTGATGACATCTTTCCAGAGGCTGTCAGGCAATGCCGCTGTTTTCTTGCCCTATTTCCAAGGCTCTGAGCGAGAAGACAGGCCCTGTATTTGCCTGGGTGAAAGATATCGCATTGGTCCTACTTCGCCCCCCCCACCCCCACCCCCACCCCCACCCCCACCCTGGCTTTCAAGTTTTGATAGCTTGCTTTTCCCATTTAATTGTTTCCTGGCACAGAATTAAGAGACCCAGTTTGGGGTAGGCACAAAACCAACTGGGTGACCTTGGGCCAGCCCCTCCCTCTCAGCCCCAGGAAGGAGAAGGCCAGGGCAAACCACTTCCAAAAAGGTCACCAAGAAAACTGCAGGGACTTGTCCAGGCAGTCGCCAGGAGTCAAGACAGACTTGGAGGCTCAAATATATACCACAGAATTTATTTCATTATCAGTTTCTGGTTGCGTGTTCTTTATTTTAATGGGGTTGGTGAGGATTCTCCCCTGAAACTGATTGCTTTATACTTTGGGCTCACAATTACACGTGCACACACACACACACGTCATTGCAATGTTTAGTCCAAAGGATGGAGACATTTATTTTGTCTGACTTTTTATACGAAGTCAGTGAGCAGCTTCCACACCAGTGCATGAATTTACTTGCTGAAATCTTCACTTTTTTTAGAACTTTGTGATGTACACATGTTGAATTAGGAAAGTCATCCATATACATTTTTCTGCAGTCCCTTTTTGGGCTAAAATTGTTAAACAATATGGACCCGGGCTAAAACAAATGTGTATTTGTTCCACGGAAATGGTTCTGACTGATTTCTCTATGCATTTCATTTAGCCAGAAAAGGGGGGGGGGGATCTCAGAGCTACTAACAAGGATTTAAGACTTTTTCTGGTAGCCAAAGTTTGGAGCCATTGGCTTGGTTTGTGTCAGGGCGGTTGGTCCTGTTGGCCCAAAAAATGGAAAGGGAACAAAATGAGATGCAAACAGGAGAGGCATCAAAGAGATGGAATGTGACAATGTTAAATGCATTGCCTGGTGGTTCTATATGAATTGCTTGATTTTTTTAGCCACACAGGCAGTCTGGAAAGGACTTGCTCTGTGTCTGTAATCTGAGAAGCACCTTATGTAAATCTGTAAAAGGACAGACCTTGAGGTTTTCCAATGTCTTTTGATTCATCAGCTTGTACTGTGAAAGATAATCACCAAAGCAGAGAGAGAGAGAGAGAGACTGAGACTGAGACCCCTCTAGGATCTGTTTAGAATCTGCTGTCAAACCGAGAAGCTC